GTTAACTGAAACCGTTCTCCTGACTGTGATGTGTTGTTTCCAGGCAGAAACACTGGTTGGGAGGTTATTTTGATTTTTTTTATTGTAATGGTGCCTTTCACAAGGAACTGATTATATGGAAGTAGAGCAATGATGATATGTGACAGTCATGGCTGCTGCAAGGCTGCTTCGTTACATCTTGTTTACAGCATTGAATGTGAATTGTGTTTGTTTGTGCCAGTTTTTTTCTGGCAGACATCAAATTCTGGCTATGGCAATAGCAAGTCTACTTTTTTTTTTTAAATCCATAACCTGAATGTCCTGAAGTTTCAAAGTTTTCATGTGTGCAGACAGCAGAAATGAAAGGTTTTCTTATAGATAGCTACAGGAAATCTCTGCTGAGTCAGGGTACACTGAGACAGCAGATAAGACACAGATGTTTACAGAATGTGACTTATCCAAAGGAAAACAAATGGACATCTTTTGAACTGGACATCTGGCTCAGATTTAAGAGACCTGGGTTCAGTTCTGCCATGGATTTTCTTGAGCAAATTGTTTAATCTCTGTACTTTGGTACGGCATCTGTTAAACAAGGTAGAACAATCCTTTTGCCTGACGCAGCTAATAGCTGTTTAGGACTGAGATTGATCCTTGTTCTGTGTTCCTACAGCAATAAACACAATAATACCCTGCTCCCTGTGGGGCCCATCAGGTTCTGCTGCAACACAAATGAGTGCTAATTTAAAAGCAATGCAGAATATAGTGATAATTAAGTAATATTTTTTCTTTTACAATTTATTTTATACAAATAATTAGTAGAGTATTCTGCATTTTAGAAGAGGGATATCTGTGTCTGTTACTAATTTATTAGGGGGCATAAAGAGAAATAGATTAGTTAAAAAGATGGAGATAGAGTATGCAGTCTTTTATGCAGAAGCTGTTGAAGAATTGAAATTTAGAACCTTTTTAATGCTGCAGTAATAATACCTGAAATTTGGAATTGGCTAAAGCCCTAAGCTTGGATTTCTGCCTAATGGCATACAGAGACAGCTATGACACAGAAAGAGAGGCAGGGAAGCTGTGTAGAAAAAGGTTGTGTATTGCACACTGTTATCACTGCTGGATAGATCATGGGCCTGCTGGCAAACTCAATTGAGAAACTGTTAAAAACAAACTAAAACCACAGCACTCAAGAGCAGAGAAACTGTTTGCCCTATAGGGTGAGCTTTGATGCAGTATTTACTGAGAGAGGTAAGAGGCTTGGAAGAACCCAGTGGCATAACTTTCTGTTTTTCTGGCCCTTTTCTTTGAAATATTTCTAAGAATCATTTATAAAGTGTCACAAAAAATCATTTGGATTCAGTTTCAGAGGACTTTATTGAAATGAGATAGTCAACACAGAAAAGGAAAATTTTCTTAAATGTATATTCACCTAAAATTTGTATGGATTAGATTTCATATAGTCAAATTGTCATTTACCAAGTAATGAAAACATTGAGGGGAAAAAAGTAAAGTCTAAAACCTGTAGGATCACTTCTATATGTAATAGAAATCAATGCTGAACTATCAGATGTGGGAAAGCATTATTGGCTTTATGAGAGCTTATGATGGAATCTGAAGTGAAAAAGGGCCTCTGCATTTGCACTTTTTCTGTGCTCTTAGAACAGATTCAGGCAATGCAGACTAGTGGGATGTGGCAACCACCAGCAAAACTAAAGGAGCAAACAGGTTCAAAATAGTCATGTTAAACCACGATATTTTTAACACAGATTTGTCTCCACAACACTCAATCTTTCAGCTTGAACACTGAAACCATGAATATTTCTTTCAGAAAATATTGATATAGTACAAATCAAAGGTGGATTCACTTTGCTTTAGTCTACATTGCCTTTTGTAATATTAGCTTCTAGCTTTTGTTTGGTAAGTGTTCTGGTTTGACATTGGCACAAGGCCAAATGCCCACATGAAAATACACCTTCTCTGGTGTCTGCTGTGAGATTTTGACCAGGAATAAACAAAGCAGGCTCTC